AATGTTAGTATATTAGAGACTCGGTCAGAGTCGGCCACAGGTCACTGATCCTCTTCACTCGCTGCAGTACTTTATAGTTGTATCTTTATACCATGATAGGTGAGGCACAGGTTAATGAGCACGTGTGCGTGTTTTAACTGTATTTAACTACAGTATATAACGTTAATCATTCATTTTATGTTTTTGATTACAAGAAATAGTCCCAATATGTACAGCAATGTGTTATAACGACTCACTCAATCAGTTCTTATGATAGATGCTATACAGTACTGAGATACAATGTGTCAAAGGGAGAGTGGAGAGCAGAGCAACCAGGGGAATGTTGTGAAGAAGTTATTACAAATGTTTGACACTTGACTGACACTTCACGTCTGATCCAACGAAAGTTTACGTCACTTGTGTTGAACCTGAAGTCACCTGTATATAAAATCAGTAATTACAGTATTTAGTTGTTCCCAGTTATAATTCACCTCACCTGAAGTGCTTGTGATATTTAAACAAAAGCTCCACCCGAGGAACATAGTGTGTGTATGTATGTCTGTCTGTCTGTCTGTCTGTCTGTCTGTCTGTCTGTCTGTGTAATACTCGGGTGTTGCTCTCACATCAGTACACGGTTAGTGATGTTGTCTTATTTTTTCGCCTATTTCTCTGCCAATTCGACCTTTCTGTTAATGATTACCTAACTTTACCTGTGGGAAAGTGAGTGAGGGCAATAGAGTGCATTGTATAGTGTCCACAGTGTCGCTAATGGAATGTCAATTGTATGGGGGTCACTTTCACTTTCCACCCCGGGCAGCAAGGGTCGGAAACAGCTACGTGTGTTTTTTTTTTAGAATATTTTAAAGTCTGGTATGTGACTAGTGAGAGATTGAATTAAGTCCGCCTTGTTATCTGTTCTAACTTCGTCTAGTGGTTAACTCTTAATTCCCCTCCTCTTGTAGTGTCAGGCAGATCTTCGGTTGTAAATACACCTACAGTGTCGTCAGCTTAATCACAGGTTGGAGTTTCTTACGTTTGAATTTTGTGAAGGTTTTCCCACGCTGTGTTTTATAAGAGGAATTACAAATTACTGAAACATATGCCACGATTCTGTTAATATACTGTATATAGCGGTATCTGGATGGTTGTGTGTGGTGAGTGAAAGATTGATTTGTAAAGATAGAAAATCAAGTCTTTTTTCACTTTCATGAGGTTTAGATTAGATTATAAATCCCTCACTTAGTTGTTGCCTTGTGTGATCATTTTATACCGTATGTCTCGATTTTTGTTATGATGATCTACAGTTCTACACAATCGATTTTTTTTGTTCTATGGTTACAAGTATGACGTGTGTACTTTCGTAGTTTTCTTTATTTATTTAGTTATTGTACTGTGATATGTATTAATTACTGACACTTAAGGCTAATGAGGTAACAGTGTCACTTTAGCGTCATAATAGGGCGTAAATTCGTTGATATATTGGAAGGAGAATATATTCCACTATGGCGTTGAAAAAGATATTTGTGAATTGAAGTGTGTGTGTGTGTGTGTGTGTGTGTGTGTGTGTGTGTGTGTGTGTGTGTGTGTGTGTGCGCGCGTGCGCGCGTGTGTGCGCGCGCGTGCGCGTGTGTGCGCGCGCGTGCGCGTGTGTGCGTGCGTGTGTGTGTGTGTGTGTGTGTGTGTGTGTGTGTGTGTGTGTGTGTGTGTGTGTGTGTGTGTGTGTGTGTGTGTGTGTGTGTGTGTGTGTGTGTGTGTGTGTGTGTGTGTGTGTGTGTGTGTGTGTGTGTGTGTGTGTGTGTGTGTGTGTGTGTGTGTGTGTGTGTGTGTGTGTGTGTGTGTGTGTGTGTGTGTGTGTGTGTGTGTGTGTGTGTGTGTGTGTGTGTGTGTGTGTGTGTGTGTGTGTGTGTGCTGTCGTACAGGAATTTGGAGAGTTAAGGCATCCTGTAGTTGAGGTTTTGACAAGCATCTAAAGATATTTTTATATACTGTAAGATAATACTGGCTGCTGTGTGAGGTAACCTTCCGCCTTCCTGAAATAATGGGAGGTTCACACCCAGTAAGGTTTCTGTAACAAAGGACAATTTATAATACAGCTGCGCGTTACAAGGGTAACTGTAAGACTCAAGGACATCAAGAGCCTGACATTAATCATTCTGTGGAAAGTTCCCATAATGACAACTTTATTTAGCATTATTATTGTAATCGTTGTGAAGAAACAGATTTTGAGTAAAGTATAATTCTACTTTTCTTTGTGTCTGTTATAACATGTTGTGACGTATAAACATGGGAGGAAACATTCACTGGTTTGTAGGAAAATGTTTTAGGTATTTTAAGTCGTCTCAAAAATTCAAAATGTTTAAAGGAATTTTGAGTACTTTAATCACATGAAAAAATGAATATCTGGTTGACGAGAGACTTAAGAACCTGTCAAGAGATTACAACAGACAGTGCAGCATGGAGAGTTGTCATTAGGTAATCGCGGCTAACATATATACGTGAGTGTGGAAAAATGGCTGAAAAACGTTGATGATGATGATGATGACGATGATGATGGTGTCACTTTACAGGTCTTGAGAATTACCACCATATAATTACATAGCAAACACGCTGCAGAATCAAGTAATTATAACAATGTGTGTAACGAAAGAAAGACATTACAGGTAAAAACATTAATTTAATCCCGTAGGCCTCAATGGCTGTTAGGGGCAGTGCTGATACATATTTTTTTTCTGGCATACAAGGAGGCAGTGGTGGCCGGTACTGCACCTGTAGCCTTCACTCCCTCAACGGTAAAGTTAAGTACCCATATACAAGTAGAGGAAGTGAATATAGTCAAGTGCAGGGACGGTCTCGCTGCCTCCTTGTGTACGGTGTGTCCCTAATGGGTAGTAGTCATGCTTATTGGACCCTCTTTCCTTGCCTTATCTGCAGCTGAGTGGACGGTGGATGCTCCAGGTAGGATGCGGGTGTTGTATCCATTCGGCCGCAGCATCCCGAGTGTATTATAGGTTAGGTTAGATTACGTTAGGTTAGGTTAGGTAAATTAATTAAGCTCCTGGCCTGGGGCTTAGGTGTTAGAGTGCCCCGTTGTTCAGTGCAGTTGACCCTGGGCGTTTGAGTGTCTCGCCTCTTGTCAGATCCCTCCCCTGTTAGTGACTTGTAACTCCCCAAGTTCTACCGCCAATGAGTCACGCGTCACGTACTTCTCATGAAGGTCTCTGTGGAGCACAAAGGTGAGAGAGATAAACAACTCTATAAGCCAGAGCTAAACTGGGTCTTCTATTGCCACGCGGGGACGAAGCCTTCAAGATTATTAAACGCCAAATTCTTTATAGAGAAATACAACGATTAAGAGTAAAGTAACTTGTAAATATAATCGATAGACACGTAAATAATCAGTCATTATATAAACGATATAAATGTTTAAATAAATACATCGTTGGTAATTAATTTTTTTTGTAGAGAAAAAGAATAGTTTTTAAAGAGTAAACAGTCCTGGTAGAGTTGTGTGAGGTAGGGTAGTTGTCACGGTCAGATTATTTAGACTGGCCAGCACCCTCTGTAGACCACCTCCACTAACACCTTCACTACGGGAGACGCTACTTTTAATTGCTTAACTCCTGGACGATATCATTCAGCGACACCATACACCAGGGGTTAAAACCTATCTGTATTACACTGGCTGAATAGTACATCAAATATATCCTAATATATGAAAGATTTAGGAATGGTTAATAGAGCCAAGTTATTGCATTTAACAACTTGATGCCATAAAGATAGAAGATAAGTTTAAAGCCAGTCTGTCTTTCTTAAACTGACTGTAATCACGAAAGGTAGATCTCTTATAACGGACAAGATACGTTACTAAGGAGTGTCCGTTAGGCGAGGCTCCGTTATACGAGACATGTCTACGAATATTTGGAACCTCTGTACTCAACACATAAAGAGTAAAATTGTGTTTTCTGGCCAAACTGAATGGAACTTCAATGTTAGACCTTATTCTTAGGTAAACATAAAAGCATTGTGTTTTTGTTAGGTGCTTATGCGTTTATTTACTCCCAGACATTACCCGAGGCCAGAATACATGTCAACACATTACTGTTCACAATCATTAATCTGTTTACTGTGACCGTGACCGAAGCCGCAACCTTGGACTGTCAACTGGCACTAGTGAGGAATTTATTCTCTATTCACTGGAGACATTTCCTGGCCCGGCATGACGTGGGGAGTGACACAACGTGTGGTGCTGGGAGTGACGCAGCATGAGTGGCTGGACGTGGGGAGTGACGACGTGTGTGGTAGGATGCTGTGAGTGACAGGACACGGGGAGTGACATGACGCAGGAAGTTACACATTGCAAGTGTCAAGATATTGGGAGTTACTGATCACGGGGAGAGGCACTGCAGTAAGTGGTAGGACTCGTAGTCACTATCTTGTCATGAAGGGTTTACTTTTTTGTCTAATTTCACCTAAATAACGTTAGAGTACTTTCTTTGTGGGGCTCTTTTCCGGTTGGGTACATAGTTCTCTGTTGGTTGGTTCGATTCCTCAGCATTCCCAGTCTAACCATCTGTAATTGGTTACTGTACCCAACGTTACAGTAAAGGTAGTGAAAGGTTTTGAGTGCAGAGCCGACCACACTCCCTGCTACTGAACCAAGGCTTTTTAGTACTATACCCGTGCGGCCATTATCGAGCCATCGGATAATATATATGTCATAATGCCATCTCCTTTGAAGCGTAGACGGATTATTGTTCTGATAATGTATATACGGGATACAAAAGGGAACATTCATTTACATTTTTGCCATCGACATATTTCTGTTTATTTATTTTTAAGTTTAGGAAGCAGACGAAGACACAGAAGTAGTCACAGTGTTTACGTGTTGTGTAAGGTGTTGATCTGGGACCGGAGACCAATTGTTAATATGAGTTTTAGTTATTAAACGTTCTATATCAGAGGCTCTGACTCTCTTAGACATCATAAGAAATGTTTAGGTTAGGGAAAATTAATATAAGTTATTATAAATAGTCATTTATTTTCACAAGTCAACAGCATTAGGAACTCACTTCTGAATGGGAAATGTAAGACGCAATTCACATTTTGTCGTTTAAGTTATAAATAAATCGCACAATACAGTCACAGGAAGTCCACATCTAGTGGTAGCCGCCATGATGGACCGGGGCGGCGTGATGGTGGTGGGGGACGCCCTCGTAGGTGACGGTGGGGTGGTAGCCGTGCTCGTCAGCGTAGTAAGTGACGGTCTGGATGCGACCGTCGGGCAGGTTCACGTAGTACTTGCCTTCGGTCTTGTAGCCGTCGCGAGATTCACTGTGACCGAAGTTGGTGCCGGCGTAGGCGTCGTGGACCCCGTAGTTGTAAGTGTAATGAGCTGGGACCTGTAGGACAACATAAAGTTAGGGTACTGGTGGTGGTATTGTTGCGATGTGTGTGTTGCCGCCAAGTGCTGGTGTACAAGGGAACCAAATTACCTGGACACTTTGTGAGCAGAGATCATTAATGAAACAACAGATTCCTCGCTATTGTCTTCCCGTTCAGAAGTACTGACTTAGGCGTTGAAGCTGCTGTACGTTGCTTATTGAAAAAACTGACACCTTAGTGAATAAGCCTTATAGTGTGTCATGTTTATTGTATACACGACTACTAAAATAACACTGCTATTACCGTGTGAACTCTCAGCTGAGTTTGTTTAGTCTTATTAAAGTGTAAACGTTAAGACAACAGAGGTCAGGAAGGCGCCTCACTGTGTTGTTTTCATTATTATTATTTAAGTCTGTAAAATCTTGTAAACCTTCGTCTTATATATGTATATATTTGAAGAGCATCGACACATCACTGCTAATAAATTATATATAACTGGTAAGTCAATTTTATAAAGTGTCATGAACTCAAAACACTTACTACTGGTGAGAGTGTTGGTGTACTGTACTGGCACATACAACTTACTGGTACTGTTGTAGTAAAGAGGCAGTAACTTACATGATGGTCCACTACTGCATGGTGGCCGCCGCCGTAGATGGCTCCTCCACCATGGTGACCGAGGCCGCCATGAACACCGATACCACCATGGTGACCGATACCACCATGAAGGCCAATGCCACCATGAAGGCCGAGGCCGCCATGGTGACCGAGGCCACCGATACCACCATGGTGACCGAGGCCACCGATACCACCATGGTGGCCGGAGGAGGTGTCACCGAAGGCCGTGGCGAGGAGGCCCAGCAGGAGGGTCAGCTAAAAATGACAAGTTGTGTGACAAAATAAACAATCAATGAGGCAAAGTGAGATGGTTGGTGTGTACAGAAAGGTGTAAAGCCACTGAGTACTATGTACCAGAAGCTCACTATTACTGAGTGTATAAAGAGTACAGTGAGTGAGGCTATAATGCTTCTCTATTGAGGTAATCTTTATCATAAAACAGATTTTTTGATAAATTAAACTGAGGTAAAGCAAAACACTAACATGGTTTAATCAAGACCGTGTTTACGAGTGTCAGTTGTGAGGGATGAAGATTATAAAGGTTTAATTGTGATGGGGATTTGATTATGTTTACCGGAAACGCTCGTTGAAGATGGGATTTTTTTTCTTCATGTTATAAATCTGGAGGATGTCAGGACCTAAACCAGACCATTACAGTATAGTAACACCTCAAGTACAACGAGAATGAGAGTTGCATCTGGTGAGTGAACAGTGTAGCCATGGCGTGTGGTTTCCTCGCTCATTCTGCTGTAACTTTACGGTCATGCTTCCTCTTTCAAGTACGTCTTCCCGCTGTGTGTTAACCGTGACTGTGTTTCATCCATGGCTGTGGCTCTCAACCTGTCATACTACATCGTCACTCATTAAATATGTCTAAATAAATTTCTGGTTATCAATTATACGAGGACTCAAAACATTGGTTCATTTTCTTGGTCGTCTAGATCATTCTTCGTCAAAGGCAGAGAAATTAAACCCTATAACATAAATGGTCTTATTCTGTCTGTTGTTTAATGGGTAAGAGCCCGTGTAACCTACCTCACAGCGCCGCCAACATCGTCCAACAGTGTCACGTGATAAGACTGGAGGTGCTTGTTAACGAAATTCTGCCCGTAGTCTGATCCCGGGGATAATGTTAAAGGAATAACAGTAATGAAGAATAATGTAAACTACGTCAGATACCGATTGAGTGATATTGAAGACGTGGTTAAATATGGCCATAGGAGGAATCACCCAATGGATAATTTTTTAGTGCATTTCCAAGCTGAGAGTTGAGTTAGTCATAGAGTTGTGTTTCTATTGCAGATAAGAACATAAGAACATAAGAATGGAGGAAACTGCAGCGGGCCTATTGGCCCATACTGGGCAGTCCCGTTTACACCCAACCCCTGTTGCTTATTTAAGCATCCAACCTATGTTTGAAGCTATTCAGCGTATTCGAGTTAATGTTGATATCTGGTAACTTGTTCCATTCATCCTCTACTCTGTTTCCAAACCAGTGTTTACCTATTTCACGCATTAAATCTAAATTTGTCTAATTTAAAACCATTGTTACGAGTTCGCTCCTGGTTGGATAGTTTGAGTACCTTTGTAATGTCCCGTTTGTTTAGCCCTGACTTCCACTTATACACCTCTATCAGGTCGCCCCTCGCTCTACGTCTCTCGAGGGAGTGCAAATTAAGATGCTTTAACCTGTCTCTATACTCAAGGTTCCTAATGGCCGTGATTAGTCTTGTCATTCTCCTCTGAATTCTTTCCAAGGATTCTATATCCATTCTGTAATACGGTGACCAGAACTGAACTGCGTAATCCAGGAGTGGTCTCACAAGAGCAAGATACAGTTTTAGGATGACCTCGCTAGTCTTGTAACTAACACTCCTTTGTATGAACCCAAGTACTTTATTAGCCTTGTTACGAGCAAAAACACATTGTTTACTTGGCTTAAGGTTCCTACTTATCATTACTCCTAAATCTCTCTCGTAGTCGGATTTCTCTATGGCATCGTTGTTCATCTGGTATCTGGTTTCCCTGTTTACATCTCCTATACTGAGTACTTTACATTTGTCCACGTTGAATTTCATCTGCCATTTTTCAGACCGTTCGAAAAATTTGTTTAGATTTTCCTGTAGTTTTGTGGAGTCCTCGTCAGATTTAATAACACGTCCTATTTTAGTGTCATCAGCAAATTTGCTTATGTTGCTGTCATGCCGATATCTATGTCGTTTATATATATAATAAATAATAATGGTCCAAGTACTGAGCCTTGGGGAACTCACTTGTGACGTTGCTCCAATGGGACTTAGTGCCATTAATGCTCACTCGCTGTTTCCTGTCCTGTTACCATGCCCTAATCCATTTAAGGATATTACCTTTGATGCCATGTGCTTCTACCTTTCTAATTAGTCTTTCGTGGGGGACTCTGTCGAAGGCTTTGCTAAAGTCGAGATATACCTCATCATAATTGTGCCCCTCGTCCACCGATTCGAAAACTGATGAAAAGAATGTTAATAGATTAGTTAGACATGAACGTCCGCTTGTGAAGCCATGCTGGGAATCATTGATCATTCGGTGCTTCTCCAGGTGATTTCGAATAGAGTTTGAAATGATTGCTTTCAGTAATTTGCCTACTATTAATGTTAGACTGATTGGGCGGTAGTTAGAGGATAATGATCTATCCCCCTTCTTGAAAATCGGTATTACATTTGCTATCCTCCAGGATTCTGGTACTACATCTGTTTTTAAGGACATGTTATGCCTATAAGTTGTCAACCATTATCTATACTCAGTCTCAGTGAGGTTCATTGTAGTGGAGTTTAATCATTACGTCTTTGTTGTGGACTTCCAGTGGTATGTTCTACCTTAGAGATAATACAAGTATAATGAGACATAACTCACAGAGAAGAGGATTTTACATATATAAGGAGAAGTATAGAGAGTGGGACTGTAAAGATAGGCACTTGGTAGCGTGGCCGGGATGTTATTTACTCAGCGTCAATACGCTTAACTTATCTCGTATGTCAATACACATTTATACGTTCTTAAAGAGACAACTTGTTAAACACCTCTTTGATACAACTATTTATTAATGAGATGGACACATCAATATCATATTATATCGGGGGACTAACACATTACTCTCGGACACAACATGAATGAATACACTTCCCACAGTAGGTAACTCACCCTAGAGATTGCTCTGACAATGACTCACGTGTACACCTGACGTAGGCCCAATGGGTGTTGGCTGGGCTCCCGTATGCGGGACTGCTAAGCTGGGGGCGTCGTGAAGTCTCCCCCCCACCTGGGGAGGGGACGAGCGTGACTCTGCGAGTGGACAGACTGACCTCTCTGAATGATAGTCCTGTGAGAATCACGAATGGAATGAGAATGACCGCGTGGACGGGACTGTAGGGCCTTTATATGGGGTCGGCCCAGCCGGCTTTTGACCTCTAACCAATTATCACTAAACTGGTTAGATCTGGACAGCGTGGTCAGGTGTGGTGATGCCCAGGTGTCTTGGTCAAGTGAGGTCACCCGCTAATTCAAGTAATTAGCCGGCGAGGTCAAGTCCCTAGGGTCTTGGGGTGTGTCCACCTGGTATGTGGTGGTACCTCGAGGTCTGTAGTGTACTCGCTGTTATATGTGATGTAATTCTTGGCTGTAAGCTTTGGTCTGATAATCAATCATTACACAAGTGAAGGAACTGTATGACTATTTAGGTATTCTGATTATGAGGTGTTACTGATGTAGGCTAAGTCTGTGTGTATTTTTCTCTGTATACATAATGTATACATAAAGGGACTCGTTAGAACAAGTGTATGAAACACAGAGGCTACGACATACTATAAAAGGTGTGATATTTCCCTCTCGTGTGTAGAGGCTCCATCCTCTGTTAGGTTAGTGGTCTGGTGTAGGCTTTTTACCCTGCTGTCTGGCCGGGACCGTCACGGAAACCACTCAGTTGAGCCCAGAGATCGAACACAGGCCTGAATAATGGCTCCCTGACACGCCTACTGCTCCACTACCGAGGCAGCACTATAATTATATTGAAAATGTCATATTTAGATAATATTGTCACCTTAACTAAAGTTTTAACGACTTTTTGAGAAAGAAAAATGATGTGAATACTATCGTGGTTTAAAGGTGCGGATGTGTGGTGTAGCAGCCTATAGTAGGGAGATGGGTTGCCTTACCTTAGCAGCGATCATGGTGGTGGTTGGGGCGGGTGTGATGCTGGACACACGCACCCATCCGCTTATATACCTGCTTCAGTGTTGGCACACCGGGCCACACCCACATCTTTCATCTCCCTCACCTCCGACACCCCTACCTACTGTACCTCTCAAGGGTAACTCATAGTGGTAAACATTATATATTTTTTTCTTATAATTGGGTTTGTTCTCTCACTCGTTTACAATACACAGAAAACTATATTAAGTTACTATCTATTAAAATATCGTTTTATGTGGACATTCAACTTTGTCAATAACTTTGTTACGTGGATGTCCAACTCTACCCAAGAACTCAGAAACCTTCTTCTTCTTCTTCTTCTTAAAGTAAGATTTTATTTTGGTCTGCGTTAGTCAGCTAAATGTCCGCCTCTCATAACTGAATGAAAACGTCTTTCCCAGGGAGTAATAATTTGGTCACTCGTGTTTTTGTAAGGACAATATACCAGCAGAAGATTTTAACCCTTTGAGTACAATGACCTAACCTCTTGGGTACAATGACCTCACCTCCTGAGTGCAATGACCTAACCTCTTAAATACAATGACCTAACTTGAGTACAATGACATTCAGAGGATAGATAATCGCATTCATAGAGACTAATTCATTGTACTTACTGGGGTTATGTCATCATCTTACTAAGTGGGCCAATTCAAGTAGATTAAGTCATCGTATTCAAGGGGTTAAGGCCTCGTACTCAGTGGCTTGATTAATTTATAGTGTACTTGAAGAGATTACTGTCGTACTCAAGGTGTTAATAGTGTACAGGAAACAATTATTATTATTAATATTATTATTATTATTATTATTATTATTATTATTATTATTATTATTATTATTATTATACTTTTATTATTATTATTATACTTTTATTATTATTATTATTATTATTATTATTATTATTATTATTATTATTATACTTTTATTATTATTATTATACTTTTATTATTATTATTATTATTATTATTATTATTATTATTATTAATATTATTATTTTCGTGGCTTTTGTTTTTAATTCATATTATTTCTTCACTGTCAGGGAAACATATTTGGACAGTTGACACTCACTCTCATGTCGCCCCTTTGTGGTCAAGGTTAGTGTAGTGTTCCGGTGTGTGCCTCAGTATTGGTGGTGCCAGTGTGTCTTATGTGGTGATGCTGTGGTTTATGTGGTGATGGTGTGGCTTATGTGGTGATGGTGTGGCTTATGTGGTGATGGTGTGGCTTATGTGGTGATGGTGTGCCTCATGTGGTGGTAGTGTGGCTCATGTATTGATATTGAAACAGTTTATTTAGCCAGAAGAACACAGATACAGAGTGGATAATAATAACAATATTAACATGGCTGAGCCAGTTGAGAACCTGAGCTCTCTTGTAGGCATCTGATATATACTATACATTTATCCCAAGGAAGTATTATGTAACATTTAGTATCATTTGGAATAGAACACATGACATGGTGGTAATAAGAACATATCAGTATGTTAATACGGTTATCACTTCGTTATTTATTTATTTTATTTATTTATTTATTATTATTTTTTTACATCTATATTATAAGTTACAGTGGTGTTATGTTTTGCCTTCTGTGAAAGATCGTGTTGTGTTTTTTTCGAGATTTATGGTCAGTTTATTACGTATTACCCAGGTTCTGACTTTGGTCAATTCAGTGTTCATAGTTCTCATCAAAGAATTGAGGTCCGATATGCTGGCCTAGAGATTACTATCGTCTGAAAATAAGTTGTATTTGACGAGTGTGCTGGCGTGGACTATATGGTTTATGTACAACAAGAACAGTACAGAACCGAGAATGGAACCTTGAGGGACGCCATACAAAATTGATGAGGAGTCAGATTGATGATTATTATAACAGACATACTGCTTTCTGTTGGACAAATGTGAGGTAAACCAATTGTGGGATAAGCCCCTAACGCCGTAATGCTCAAGCTTTGCCAGGAGGATGGTATGGGCGACAGTATCATGTAGGGTCAGTGTGTTTCATCTGTCCGTTTAGGTGAGTGCAATGTATCTGTTCAGGAGGGTAAAGGTGTTCAGTGTGCCTTGAGTGCGTGCGTGCGTGCGTGCGTGTTTATCCAGATACTCATTGTTATGCAAGATGTCTTTTGTTGAATCTCCTGAAAATGGGAGACAGTTGGTGCATATCTTCACGCTGGTCGACGACTAACACGCCTCTCACACGCACCTCTCACGCACCTCATCCACTCTCCCTGCCTCCCCTTCTCTCTCTCTCTCTCTCTCTCTCTCTCTCTCTCTCCTTCTCTCTCTCTCTCTCTCTCTCTCTCTCTCTCTCTCCCTCTCTCTCTCTCTCTCTCTCCCTCTCTCTCCTTCTCTCTCTCTCTCTCTCTCCTTCCTTCACTCCTCACTTGCTAACACACCAATAGTACGTCTACTTATATATATCTATTCTATCCAATACACACAGTACGTAGTGTGTGTGTGTGTGTGTGTGTGTGTGTGTGTGTCGGACGTAATAACAATTAGTAACTCAGGTAGATATTACCATCGTCAACAATTACAGGTTAATGATGATGTGGACATGATAAGCATTGTTTGTGTCAGGTTGTGTCCCACGCCCCGTCCTTCACGCCCTCCCGCCCTCAGTCCCTCTACCTCGACAATCCTTCACGCCCACACTAGCCCACACCCTGCTGCCTCTCCCACCCTTGCCCACCTATTAGCTCCCTTGAATCCCTTCCTCCACGCCCAACCGAATGCTCTTATCCAGTTCCTTCTCTCACGCCCTCACTCATGCCCTTCTATACACTCCTTCTCATAGGTCCTTGACTCCACCTTACCCTCCCACCCCTACTTCCCCCACCTCACCCTCCCATCTCTTCCCCCACCTCTTCCCTACCACCTCTTCCCCCTCCGTCCCCACCCTCCTCCCGCACCCATTCTTCCCCATCTTTCCCCTCCCCACCCCCCACCTCCTCCTCACCTCTTCCCCCAACCCCCCTCCCCCTGTTCCCTTAATCCCCCCGCTCCTCTAATTATCTAATGACCCATGTTTATTGCGTCTCGTGTTGTCCACTGTTACATAACTACTGCGTGTAAATACTCGGTTAATTCAACGGGATGAAGGGCTTCCTCCTCCTCCATCAGTGTTGTTATTTAACCTACAAAACGTCACACTCTCTCTACGGTTCTTTGTCCCGTATATTGTCTTCATGTTTATCCCCTGATCTTTCTTCTCTTGTACTTTTTCGTCTTTGTCTATATCTTTTTCATCTTTATTTTTCCGTCTTTTTTTTTGTAATTATCTTTGTTTTTTAATTTCGTTGTGTTTTGTGTTTTATTTTCCTCATATCGTTTTGTTATTTTTTTGGGGCAGTAGTTTTACCTCGTCTACCACTCTCATGCCTTAAAGATCTTCTCCTCACGCGCCCTTGCATGCACGCAAACATTCACGTACACACTCATGCACGTTCACAAACACACAATCACGCACACGCTCACTCACGCAATTCAAAACCAGATGTCCATTGTAAAATATTCTTCACTTCATTAATAAAAACGTGGGGTGTGTGTGTGTAAATACTACAGGTGTGTTTATTGTCATTAAGGTAAGGGTCCTGTGAGCTTTAGCAGGTGAGGGAGGCCATCCTCTTGATTGTATACTGAAGAGGAAGTGAATTAAATTAACATGAAGTTCTGTAGATTATATTACAGTCGATCAAAAAAATATCTGTATCTGAAGGGGCCGATGAGTTTCAGAAGGAACACTGTGACGCCTGTTGTCTCGGTAGGGTTGTCAAAATCCTTCGTCCCTTGTGTCATTTTGTCTAACGTAATTTAAGTAGAGATAGTTTTTTTTAAGGTAGTTTAGGTATTTAGTAGGTGAGTTATTCTGCGTTTTTGTACTAAGTTAGAGTACGAGTTATTAGGCGTTTTTACATTATGTCTAACAATAAAATAAAATAATTTCTTAGTGCAAAATATAATAAATGTGAGCTAGAATTGGCCACAGACTGCGTTAAACCATCCATGGTAAAACATCCCTTGCGTGGGAGACATTATCAGTCAGGTCACGAAAGGTGTAAATCATGCTGATGATTAATCGTAACCAAAACTGAACTAAGATGTTTGTGTCCCGGAACTGATCTTGTTGTAATGTGATATGAGGGACCTCTCTCTCTCTCTCTCTCTCTCTCTCTCTCTCTCTTTGTGCCCTAAGGTGTTCAGGGTATCCAGGAAGACCCTGATCACTGTTAAAGGCCTTGGACTCTATTTAATCTAACCCTGGTGATCTCAAGGGTCTAGGGTCAGCCGTTGTCCTTAAGATATTGGAGACAAATAGGGAGTACTGACTGCCTCTGAGAGCTCGGTGGATTCATCTGCATACTAAGATTTATATCAATACATTTCTCGGTGTTAATGTTTTTGCGCTCACAAGATGCCGCCACACACACACACACACACACACGAAAAACAGAGAGAGATAGAGACTGGTCGATTACTATATCTACATTTACTGCAGGAGGCAACAAGAGACAGTAAGACCTGGAAAGTAAAGTAATGAATGAACATAGAGACACAATACCACGGTAAAGGGAGGCATTATGAGACACTATATGTAAAAACAAAAGTGGTCCTCAACCTGCCTGTGGCGTCGGAATAATACGCAGGGAATAAAACAGAAAGTGAGAGTTGTGTAGAATTCGTCCTTGAGTGTTAAATGGAAAAATGAATGATGTATTATAACAAGAAGTAATATTTATACAAGTCAGTGATCACATGAGACTTAGATTAATATTTTCCACAACTGATAAATACGTTAAGTATATGTATTGTTATGAGGGATCAATGTTGTTAAATTTGTAAATATCAGGATTGTTTATACTACATCGTTCTTTTATTTCCTCGGCTATTGTGAACGATAGGTGACAAGGTCTTCCTCCGGGTGGTGGTAGTGGGCGGGGGAGGTGCCGGGGTGTGGCGAGGCGTGGTGGGATAATGCTCGACCCAGACACTC